ACGTAAGATAGCTAAGAGAGAGGGTACTTTAGTTTGATCTCTGTGTCATACGAAGTGTGGTTGTGACAATACATTTGTATGCATGTAAAACGCTATTTTAAGCCATATACGGGCCCGTATGCGCATTTTCGTCGATGCGAAAGAGACTAGAATACGAGATTTCTCGTTTCAGTTCTTAATTTCCTAAATGCATACTATATCGATCATAACTGAATTTTCAGTAGATCATTTGTGTTCAAATTACCCGCATATTAAATCGCCTGCTTTAATTGAAAGCTATCTGTGTCACTGCTCCATGGATCCCTGTAGTAGGGGTAGCGACAATAATCCTACACACATCTGAAATCAAGAATTTTTAGAACTCCACTTTGATCATTTTTATGTTAGAATTTTCAAGAGATAGTGTAAGATTGAAATTTGATGGACTGGAAGTTTATTAATCCTAGTTCATTTGATTGAGATTTTTTGAAGAATCATTTTACGCGTCGATTCTAATGTGCAGACTAGTTCAATTCAGCAAAAACGAATCAGCCATTGGTAGTAATTTCACCTACGCGTAAGTAGGTAAATACTCTTATATACGTATATATGAACGCGTACAGCACAAAAGCAACCTTAGCCAAGGACTACTAAACTCGATAATCTAAAATCTATGTTTGCTTTTCTTGATCGATTTTTCCAATTTAGAGTTTACTGTCGGTAGTCCTGTCTTAGTATTTAAAAAATTGTGTAAGCGATACAAAGAATTAATATTTCTTGTTGCTTATAGTACGATAAAAAGATACTTTGCTATCATAGAATTATTTTACTGCTTCCAATATGTCGCAGACCGATAGACTACAAGGCCAAGCTTATTTAGGAATGAATATCAAAAATTCATATAGCTGCTAATATGATGTGTGCACTAATAGCATCCAATAGTGCATCATGGTATTTTTCGGCAATTTAATCCATTAGCGGCATTAATATTAATTTATTAATTTGTCTCGTATTTTTGATTTGTCTACAATGTTTACGAACTTGAAAGCATTCGAACGCTCCATCCGTTAGTAGACCCACATCATATTAGCAGCTATATGAATTTTTGATATTCATTCCTAAATATGCTTATGATATGCCAAGTAATGGAATGATTTAATGTATGCTAGTAATGTCGATTTCCTTCCGGTATGATAGTTTATGGCACGGCACCTCAGTGAACTTGAAACTGGCCTGAGGCCGCCATTTTCTCTTTTACGCGCTTTCAAAGCCCCTTGGATATCAATGAAATTTTTTGACCATTTCACCGTGAACAAAGGTGAACCTTGCACGTCATCATCTCACCTGGTTTGCTATTTGTCCTTGTAGGACCAATATGAGCATCCATGAAATGAATCGAGCTCGTATTTTAATAAAATAGTTTAATTTTATACTCAGAATGGTAGTTGTGTTCGACGATGCAACAGCTACAATACGTGTACAACAGTTAACGCTTATGCTCTATGGACCAAAGCACCGCGTCTTAGCCATTTTGGAGAAGGTCGCATCATCACTACAGAGTAAAGTAAATTGTCTGCTATACTGTACAGTGTACAGTACATTGTACTCGGTACAGTAGTTTGTACGTGGCCAGTTAATTCAGCGGAAGTTCATTGAAACGTAGCGTCAACCACGAACATTTCTTCTGACTGCATCCAGTCTTGGTCGTAGATGTACAGTACGGTACATTAAATGATTAATTAATAAATAACAATATCATGAGATGAGTCTGTTAACAATCTACGCGTTTTTATACTCTGGATTTTTTTTTTAGTTGGTTGTCCGTAAAAAGTGATCATTTCATAGAAAAGTCTGTTGCTATTTGAGAGTTTAATCATGATCTGAAGTAATCATACAGTACAGTAACACGTCGTACAGTCTACATTGATGGCAAGCAGGCGTCATGTTGCCTGCCATTCACTTCCATTCCTACATTACTCTTGTGACGTCATGGCCAATTGGCAATACAACTCATTCTGCGAACAATTGTCCTTATCTACAGTTGTTTCACGTCGCATACTGTACAATACAGTACACAGTGGACTACTAGCGGTACAATGTACTGTACTGTACAGTACTGTAGGTAGTCTGCTTGACTATGAATTGGGGCTCTGCCTGGTTGACTTTTACTTACTTCTTACTAACTAATGAAAATTTGTACCGCTGTGTTCTTTTTTTATCTAATATTGTAAAAATTACTAGAACATGATCGCATCTTTGGTCTATACAGGCCATTTTTGATAAACTAGCCGTAACATCACTGACTCGGTTCATTCACCGCAGGCGATTCACCACTGGATAATTCACCGTGACATCACGCACGACTTGTACTTATGACAGTCTACGGTATCGGTACGGTACACTGTACTGTACAGTACTCTGACCTGTTAAGGTTCAAGTGTACAGTGTACAGTCTGTACTGTAGGTCTACAGTAGTGGTCCTCAGCTATTGTACTGTACGGGTACAGTACGGTTTGCCTTGTGTTACGCTTAGTCATGCTGCGGCCGTACTCTTCTACTAGTTAAAGGAAAGTTCATGGGTCGCCAAAATTTGTCTGCAGTACAATACAGCCCGCCTGTACGGTACTGTACCGTGATACGCTCGCTGTCTAGCTCGTACAATAAAAGGTCTCTTCAGTACAATAGAAACGACGACAGTACTATGTACGGTCCTACAGTATTGCATGGGATGAGATAGTACTGTACAGTACGAACTAAGCTACATAGCTTTCCACTTTGCCATTCACTGTCGTCACTTTTGTTGGCTTGATCTGCCGATTCTTGCTCCAAATTAATCTCTGTGATAAAGGTAAGTTAGGCCATTTTAATATTGATTTCAACTTGAAATATCGACGCCAATGACGATACAAGTTAGTTTAATAACATCTTCAACTAGATATCAGTCCATAGACAACATACTTTGATCTGTTGACGTACAATTTCATCAGATTATGCCAGTTAAAAAGAGTTTAAACACGTGTCGTCGTCTACTCAAACTGTCCCTTTGAAATAAGTTGATTTGCAGTAGTCATACAACCTCGTTTCTATGGGGACTGACCAGTGAGTTGCATTGAAAGGAGAAACTGACCAAATTGGTCATTCAAATCCATTTTATGGCTATAAGATATATTTCAAATGTCATTGGATTCAAGTAGAATGGTCGATGAATGAGATGCAATCATTATTCAGGCTAAATTTGATGTTCTGCTAGGTTGATACAATTGGAAGTTCTATATCGAGTCAATCCATGTTTAAACACTGTAGTTGCAGTATTCACTGACCACCGACCAGTTTCTATAGTGTATTTCTGACTATGTATGGTAGGCAAACTAGGAAGAGAGTCGATGAGTATATATATGATTGACCCGACAAATTATTCTTGTAGCATCTTCTTAATTGGATAGATTCTATCAGTATATGATTGACCAGACAAATCATTCTTGTAGTATCTTCTTTATTGGATAGAGTCTATCAGTATATGATTGACCGGACAAATCATTCTTGTAGCATCTTCTTAATTGGATAGAGTCTATCAGTATATGATTGACCGGACAAATCATTCTTGTAGCATCTTCTTTATTGGACAGAGTCTATCAGTATATCATTGACCGGACAAATCATTCTTGTAGCATCTTCTTTATTGGATAGAGTCTATCAGTATATGATTGACCGGACAAATCATTCTTGTAGTATCTTCTTTATTATATGCGATATATTCAAATGTCATTGGATTCAAGTAGAATGGTCGATGAATGAGATGCAATCATTATTCAGGCTAAATTTGATGTTCTGCTAGGTTGATGATACAATTGGAAATTCTATATCGAGTCAATCCATGTTTAAACACTGTAGTTGCAGTATTCACTGACCACCGACCAGTTTCTATAGTGTATTTCTGACTATGTATGGTAGGCAAACTAGGGATAGAGTCGATGAGTATATGATTGACCGGACAAATCATTCTTGTAGCGTCTTCTTAATTGGATAGATTCTATCAGTATATGATTGACCAGACAAATCATTCTTGTAGTATCTCCTTTATTGGATAGAGTCTATCAGTATATGATTGACCGGACAAATCATTCTTGTAGCATCTTCTTAATTGGATAGAGTCTATCAGTATATGATTGACCGGACAAATCATTCTTGTAGCATTTTCTTTATTGGAAAGAGTCTATCAGTATATCATTGACAGAACAAATCATTCTTGTAGTATCTTCTTTATTTGGTGAATTGGTGACACTGAACACCCAGTAAAGTACTGTGCACAGTATAAATTTGCACTAAGCATGGTCTATTTTTAAGTGAATGAATAGAGATTCTACTATAAGTACTAGGCAATGTACACGGCTTCGCGATACTCAAATTGATTTCCTTCTCCTTTCTTGACAGCTTATTCTATCGATAGAACTTAGATATCCATTGGCTAAGTTACATAAAAATTGGAACCCGCTATATCGACAAAGAGATACTTGCTACAAGGATTAAAAGATCATAGTCTATTAGATTTGAAACAGCTCCTTTATATGTCTAGTACCTCACCGTCATCGCCTCCTCCCGCTAAAAGGCCTAAGACTTCCAATTCGTTGTCAGGTTTCGATTCTAACGCTAAGGATTTCAATTCTTCTCATCAAGTAAGTCATTTTTTTTTTGGAATATTGATGAACATTGTAAGCTATCATTCGTTCAATGCTTGCATATGGCAAAGATTTTGTTCTCGGTGCATGCCAGATACACTTACCATCATGTTAAACAAGTACCACGGTGCTTTTTATACTTACTAGTAGTGAAAAATAAATAGTAACAATACCAGAGCAATGAACTTCCGATTCTATTCGTTGATATTTCAATATGATGAGACAATATTTAGATACTGCATGGCGAATCTATTTGAATTAGTATGGAAGAGATTGAATCTAATGCTAAGCTTAATTTCATTTTCTCAATATTGTTGTGCCTTGCTTTAGGTTAGAAATAACAACATGACAGATCACGCCGAGCCTCAAATAGACGAGGGCTTGTATTCGCGGCAGCTGTAAGTTAAAACGCTAAATGTGACAGAGCTTTAGTAAAAACGCAACCTCATTAACAATTAACCATTCGTTTATTGTTCTTTATTTAATCATGAATGTATTTTAGTACATGGATTGGGAGATAAATTATTTCTTAATAAATTCTTTAGCTATTTCTGGGCCAGCTAAAGCAGCAGACTATTCTCTTTTAATTTGTAGTTATGTTCTTGGCCATGATGCTATGAAGAAAATGGGTTCATCAGACATCCTAATATCTGGCATGAATGGTCTTGGAATTGAAATTGGTATGGATCTAGTTTTACTAACAGATATTTAATAGATAAAACATGATATTGCTATCGTGACATTATACTAGGAATCTATTGGATTATTGTTCGTAGTTATAATTTGTTATGTAAATACAATACACGTTAACGATTGACTATGATTAATACCAAATAAATGTAACGTACATTGATATCAATTGGCAACGTGCCATAGAAGTTAAAGTAAGATGAAATTCAATGCGTTTATAGTTCTCTCTCTCTCTCTCTCTCTTTTATAGCTAAAAATGTAGTTTTAGCTGGCGTCAAGTCTGTAACTATCCATGATACTGAAGTGGTTGAAATTGCTGATTTATCTTCGCAGGTTCATAACGAAAATTTAGTAGAATACTAATCCCATAGTTTAGATACATGTAGTATATGCGTTTTATTCAAGGGCTATCTCCATTTAGTATAAAAAATAACGTTTCAATTACTTTCGATATAAACTGTAATTTTGATTGTTTTTCTTTTCAAATCAAAATAGTTCTTCTTACGTGAAGGAGACATCGGAAAAAATAGAGCGGAAGCGTCGTGTGATCGGTTAAGTGAATTAAACAATTACGTCAATGTCAACGTTTACACTGGATCGTTAACAGAAGACTTTTTAACTCACTTCAAAGTAACTATCTAAGTTTATTCTCAGATGCCATTGAATGATGATCATATCTTGATATCGTATATCATTGCAACATAATAATAATAATATATAAATTACACTATATCAAATAAATAAATCTACGTAAAATCTTTCCGTGTTGCTTTGCATCGTACAATTTTTAATATTTATAAATGTCAAACGTCCCTAATTAGGTTATCATCTTAGTACAAGCTTCTCTTAGTCAACAACTAAAAATTGGTGAATTTGCACATGAAAGTTCGATAGCTTTCTTGGTAGCTGATACTAGGGGATTATTTGGGTAAGTCAAATTCGATTTCGTTGTATATTTCCAAACAGATGGGTGTTTTGTGGTAAGGCATTGAAATACGAATTAAAAGGTTCATTGATTCTCTTTAACATTCAGACAAGTATTTTGTGACTTTGGAGCTCAATTTCAAGTACTAGATACGAATGGGGAAAGGCCAATAAGTTGTTTGGTTTCATCGATTACAAAGGTATAGTAAACAAAGTTAACTTTGTATCCTGCTTTTAAATCAATTCCATATACGTATTAGTTTTAGTAGAATTCATAAAGATCTCTATTTATATATCTTTTACAGGATTCTGAAGGAGTTGTTACGTGTGCTGACGAACAGAGGCACGGCCTTGAAGATGGCGATTATGTAACATTTAAAGAAATCAGGGTGAGATTACTATTTCCCTTAATTTCATGTTTGTTTCATAAAAATTTCTACCATAATTTATCTAACTCATTGACTGAAAACTTGAATTTTAGGGGATGGTTGAACTGAATGATGGTAAACCTCGTAAAATTAAAACTCTAGGCCCATATACTTTTAGTATTGGTGATACGAAGAATTATAGTAATTACGAGAGGGAAGGTGTTGTGACACAAGTTAAAATGCCTACAACGTTAAAATTTGTAAGTCATTATTTGAATTTTCACCGTTTGATATTCTGGATTATCTATCTTTCTAACTGAAATAGTTACACTTTTACTATCATATGAAGAGCATTAGCAGTACTATTTAATGTTATGTCATTTATTATTATCCCTAGAAATCAATTAAGGCCGCGTTATCTGAGCCTGACTTTCTCGTTTCCGATTTTGCTAAATTCGATCATCCTCCTCAACTACATCTTGCATTTCAAGCATTATCCGAATATCAGCGTAGATATGGACAATTGCCTAGACCTAGAAATGAAGCGGATGCATTAAATTTTTTAAATGTGGTCAAAGAAATTAATGAAAAATCGGAGTTCAAAGTTGATTCATTTGATGATGACTTGCTGAAGCTGTTCGCTTTTAATGCGAAAGGAAATTTATCTCCTATGCAAGCCGTTATTGGTAGTATAACTGCGCAGGAAGTTCTTAAAGCATGTAGTGGTAAATTCTCTCCAATCCGTCAATGGTTTTATTTTGATGCTACAGAGTGTCTCAAAGGTGTCAATCCAGCTGCAGCTGAAGAAGATTTTCAACCGGTATTGATCTTACCAGAGTCAAAAATTAATCTTTGAACACGTAAATTGCTGTGGCAATAACTTGCAAATTGATCATTTCCTATATTGGTGTTTCAATTGTAGAGTGATTCCCGATACGATGGGCAAGTAGCTATTTTCGGTAAAGAATTTCAGAAAAAATTGGAATCATTACGATATTTCGTGGTATGCACTTTTTAACACGCTAGGAATATTGCAATTTTACGTTATTGTAGTAGGCCGTATCTTTTGTTAGCTACTAATTGTTAAATCGGATTATCTTAAACGTACGATATCAATAATTTTCTGATGTTTGATGAAATAGGTCGGTGCCGGTGCTATAGGATGTGAAATTCTTAAGAATTTAGCTATGATAGGTGTTGGTGCGGGATCTAATGGTCACATTTACGTAACAGATATGGATATTATTGAAAAATCTAATTTAAACCGTCAATTCTTATTCCGGCCTTGGGATGTTCAAGTAATTAATTGATATAAACTCATAATTTTACAATCTTGAGTTAACATCTTCTGCTGATTTATTGAAACATACAGAAACCAAAGTCGCTTACCGCAGCCAATTTTGTAAAGCAAATAAATCCAAATGTTCGTATTACCCCTCATGAAAATCGCGTAGGTCAGGACACGGAAAGTATCCTTTATAACAAATATCTGACTTGGTCTATATTTGTGAAGAATACTTCATTGAAGCAAACATTTTAATTTGCCTAAATCAAATATTACGCTGCGCATGTTTCTTAACGACCATTTGCAGAGATTTACAACGATGATTTTTTCGAAGCGTTGACTGGTGTTATCAACGCCCTAGATAACGTTGAAGCTCGTAAGTTTGTTCCTACGTCTATCAGTATTTCAAAGTTACGATATCTGTTTGAAAAATTGAAATCATTCATCTACGATTAGGGCAATATATGGATCGACGTTGCGTATATTATCGAAAACCGTTATTGGAATCTGGTACTTTAGGAACAAAGGGTAACGTACAGGTTGTTTTGCCGTATGTCACCGAATCTTACTCATCGTCACAGGATCCTCCCGAAAAGTCTATACCTATTTGCACATTGAAGAACTTTCCCAATGCTATAGAGCATACATTACAGGTATATATAGTCGAATAATACGGTTAGCTTTATACATACATGCATGTGGTATATTTTTCGTTTCCATAGCGGTATCTTAAAGAAGAAATTTAATTTATGAGCCAGCATCAATGTAAATTATACTCAGTCATTTTATAAATACTATTTAACAGTGGGCTAGAGACGCTTTTGAAGGATTATTTAAGCAACCTGCAGATTATGCCAATCAGTACCTCAGGTACGTCAACACAAAGGATGAGATTGAGATTGTCGTTACATAAGTACTAAGAAATCTTCTACACATTTATCATTTAGTGATCCAAAATTTATGGAGAAACTTAATAAGATGCAAGGTAGCCAACCTGTAAGTGGACTGCTACTCTTCATTAAATGTAGCATGTTTGTTGTCAGAATGGTTAATATTGTAAATGAGAAGCAAAGTACGCGTCGATAATTAAATTTATCATCATCTTTACCCTAGATGGAAATTCTTGAAGCTGTCAAGAAAGCTCTCGTGGATGAGAAACCGGCAGCTTTTGAAGATTGTTTACGTTGGGCTGTGACGTTATTTCAAGATTACTATTACAATACTATTAAGCAATTGCTATATAATTTTCCATCAGATCAGGTATGCTTTGATTTATTCGATGCCATTATTCGGCGTTTTATTGATGTCATGAGTTTGAACATCATTTCTTATAGAAAACTAGTTCTGGAGCAATGTTTTGGTCTGGCCCAAAGAGGTGCCCACATCCTATAAAATTCGATGTCGAAAATGTAGGAACTCTTCAATTCCGTATTTGCCAGAATATTTATATAAATAATTTCCAACTAGCTTTAACTCCTTAAGTATATTTGCTTAATTTTTACTAATGTAACGTACTTTTGTAGCAATTACATTTGGATTTTGTTATTGCTGCGTCAAACTTAAAAGCTGAGGTCTATGGTGTGGCAGGTAAAACTTGTATTTGGTTATGTATGCGTTTATGCACTGTATGTTGCACATGTTAAAATATCTACGTCTTACAATACAGGAAGTAGAGATATAGAGGAAGTAAAGAACGTACTACGTAAAGTTGAGATCAAAGAATTTACTCCCAAATCCGGTAATTTTGTTATGAGCTCAGTAAAAACTTTAAAGTTATCATTTTTTTGACGGTGGTCATGTATTTACTGTTGTAGGTATTAAGATTGACGTAACTGAAGCGGAGGCTGAAGCTCGAATGTCTGCTGCTATCGGTATGTTTACGACTAGAGATATGTAGTAAATACCTATAACCGCCACGAATTGACTTGGATAAAATGATACTAAAGCTCATTACAACCTTGTAGATCATAGTGAAATGGAGAAGATCATTGCTGCGCTTCCATCTACAGACTCACTCAAAGGATTTAAGTTGGCCGATATCGAGTTTGAAAAGGTAGCTGTCCGCCCCATCATTTAATCGGCTAATGCAATGTATTGTATTTTCTGAAAAGCTGATGTAATTATTAATAACTTGTCAGGATGATGATACTAATTTCCATATGGACTTTATCGTTGCGGCGTCTAACTTACGAGCTGAAAATTATGAAATAGAAAAGGCTGATAGACATAAGGTAAGAGATCTCTAGATTTTTAAATGAGTATCGCACGATATTTTTCCATCAAGCTTAACATGAGCGATACTATATGGAATTCTCTAATGGTACTTTATTCTGCTTACAATAGAGTAAATTGATTGCTGGCAAAATTATCCCAGCGATTGCAACTACAACTTCTCTGGTTACAGGACTAGTATGTTTAGAGTTGTATAAGGTAAGATTTAGTTTCTGTAGTTAGCATGAAATAATTTTTCATTAGCGATAAATAAAAGTAGATTCATGTATCTGTTGCCTTATATACGTACGTCTTTACAAATAAAAGTATAATTCTTTCTGTCCTGAATGTTTGTTATGATAAGATCGTAATGGGCTTAAAGGACATTGATTCGTTCAAGAATGGCTTTTTAAATCTTGCTTTGCCTTTCTTTGGATTCTCAGAACCTATTGCTGCCCCTATAAATAAAGTAAGTTTATCTAGGCAGCTGCTCTATTATCGTATGAATGTCAACAATTTTTTTAGCTTAACTGACTAGAAAATGTTAGCCTCTGTGCCCTTATGGTATCTAATTTTGGAAAATTTTTAATCTATTTTAGTACAATGATGTCGAATTTACTCTATGGGATAGATTTGAAGTTAATGGTATTAAGGATGATGGGAAAGAAATGACACTTACTGAATTCCTAGAATACTTTAAGGTTCTTCGATTTGATACTAAAAGTTGGTAGTTTTTTAAGTTACTGATCGTTGTATATTTTTACACCTACAGAAACATCATAATCTAGAGATTACTATGCTGTCTCAAGGAGTTTCAATGCTTTACTCATTTTTCACTCCCAAGGCTAAATTGCAAGAGCGATTACCTCTTCCGTAAGTATTTCATATGTGAAGCAATATAGAAATCTCGATGTGCACCTTTGATATTGACATTAAAAGAAAATTTTTAAAACTATAAGTTAAATCTACACTTCTTTTTACTGAATAGAATGACGGAACTTGTTCAAAAGGTTTCGAAGCATCGTATTCGGTCCCATGTTAAATCTCTTGTTTTCGAGATATGTTGCAATGACACTGATGGCGAAGACGTAGAAGTTCCATACATAAAATATAATTTCCGTTAAAATCCTAGCAAAACAGATATTGTTGCAATATAATATTTTTAAGGACTTATTTAGTTCCATGTTTGTATGTAGTTTTGAATCCTTTCCTTTTTTGGATGTAATAGTAGTATTGCTTTATAATAAGCTCACGGTGAAATTATAATTCTATCTTGATTTACATACAGTTAAGACATTTTGTTAAAATTATAGTTAAATAAAAATTTATTAGTAATCCAATTTGGAAGTATAACTTTGTTAGATATGCTTTACAGTTGGTGTTAGTAACCAAGGCTAGATATGGGACAATATTCCATACGCAATCTTATCTGAGCATCAATTGCAATTATTTAAAGTCACATTGCTTACTTTGTTGATTGCTATTTCTAATAGATTATAAAGACTTTAACTTAACTTGCTAAATGTTTTTGAGACTAGTAAGTGTGTTAACTCAGTAGGGTATCTATAGTTGAAGACGCCCTTGCTGATATTTTTAAGGCCATTCAACCTTGAATTAACTAAAATACCAATGAGATACAGTGCCTTTATTATTCGGTACAGTTATTATTTAGTATATATGTATATATACGTATAAATGATAAACAAGACTAGTGGTGAAACTTTCTCTTCCTTAAAAATAATGATTGTAGACCAGTATAACAATATTCACACACAAAGATATGATGAATGTATACAATTAATAGCCTGGCTTTGATTGAAGCTGAAACAGGGAATCCACTAACACCTGCGTCGAAGAATTTTGCACATTTATTTTTTCAATGATTTATACCTGTACTATTGTTGTTCGCTTCTTTGATTTCCATAAGATGATCTTCATTAATTAACGGAATTATGAAGGCGGAAATGTCATCTTGAGAAGCTAATTCTACATCATTTTTCATCCAATGACGGCCATCATACATTCCTCGACAAGTTTCGACTAAGGTTTTCGCAGCTTTTGCATATCTTGGAACATGGATGGAACAAGAAATATTATGAGTTGAATTTACATTTGCCACAATGGTCGAGATTACGGTTGACTATATTATCTCTACCTAAAATTATCTTCTCTACCACATTTCTGAAGACAATCCAGAACTATCTTCCCAATTTCTTCATTACTTAGACTTTCGTATAAACCGTCACAACCCAAAATTAAAATATCATCAGGACCATAGCTATCCTGATCCAATGCTAGTGACTTCACTTCGGGACATGAGGTTAAGAACGGCTTTAAATATGGTCCTCCTTCTTGACATTTTAAATCGAAGTCACCAAATCCTCGGGTTGTGCTTATAATATCTAATAAACGACACTGTTCGAGTAATATTAATTTAAAGTTGTTATAGTAACGCAAAGGATATTTATGTCACCAACCTGCTTTCCGCCTCCTCGTATCATAGGAACAAGTTCGAAATCTTCTTCACTGGCAATTTTTGTACCCCTACAGTTAATTGTTGAGGTTAACATCGATATTTATAACTATTGCATACTTGTATGAGAGTACCATCTTACGCTAAATATGGCTAGAAATTTATCTATTAGCTAAGTTTATAAAACTTACCAGCCCACCATATCCATATCTTTATATACGACTGGTTTACCCACATCAGTTTTACGTATGCGTTGCTTAAAGTACAATCTGTTGTAATAGGCATGAAGTAGTTCTGGTTGTAGATATGCCTAGATATTGAAACGAATTAAATTACGCTATTGAGCGATTTTTTAATCAAATGGTAGTCTCTTTTAAGAGACGGTACTGCATACTTCTGCCATTAAAGTGTAACAAATAGATTACTTCAGTACACTCTGTACAAAATTGAAAAATAGCAAGCAATTAAACTAAAATTAACGAGGAATTTTAAATTGAATGATCATATAATTTAACGGATTCCAAACAAATACTATCGATTAGTAACAATAACCATGTCCATTTAATTGAATGATTAATAGTTCCATCATGAATAAATCATACAGGATTCAAGTCCTATAAAGATTATCTGTGATAAGTTTAAGAGTTTGCAAGCATCCTTACTAAATATTGTAATCGCTGTCTATCTGTTATAGGATTAAAGTCCGTTGATAGTTGTTCCATAATGCCTTGTTTTATTATTAGCGCCCTAGATGATTATACCAGATATAGTTAAAAGTATTAAATTCAATGGTAAATAATATCCAGATTATGGATGTAACATTTAATTACAATGTGCGAAGTTTACTCGCATTATGATCACTTTACCTGCAATCGCCTGCATTAGCTACATACAAATGCTTTTCAAAATAGAGTGCCATTATGGCAGTGCAGCCGCCACTGATAGAGCAAGACTGCCGCTCATTGCCAATTTGTTGATCCTAAATTATAAAGTTGAGGATACCTTAGGTTAGAGCTTAATTAGTGACGATTTGAAACTTAGTTTTGGAAAGCTTTAAACAACTAAAGCTCAACTTTAAGATATTAGCTGAGATCTCACACTATGCTACTTCAGTTTCAGAAGCTAATATAGGACAATAAGGCATACATTCTACTCAATGATGTAATGTAGATTTGCGATCATCTCAAATAGCTTTCGTAACGATGATACGAATAATTTCGTAGTTATTATTTCATGTTGAAATTATTGCATCTCCTAAATTAGATTAATCGAAGGGGTAAAGAGTGCTACTAATCGGAACATCAATAAATGCCTTGAAGATATTTTGTATTTTAGAATCTCAAAATTTAATAGCAGATGAATCACAAACATGAAAGCAAATTGAAACTGAAATATTCTGTTCAAGCGTTAAAAAAGTAACACGGCGTTGACCGATTGCAGTATTTTAATCAACGATAAGTAACTTACCAGCTCTCGAAAAGCTTCTTCTATTGCTCCTATAATCAATGCTTCCAATTTTACAGTAGATAATTCAGAATTAATGGATGGTAGTGTTGCATAGAAATTATGAGCTTCTGTTAATTTTTGATAAATTATTAAATGGAGTGAATTTGCAGCGTAAATCGCCGCCTCGGTGCCACCATGGCCATCAAAGATTGCAAAATATTGATAGGGTAAGATTCGAGACAGCTAAAGGGAGAAAATAACTATTTTATTTTTCTACTTTATCTCTTAGACCTTTAATCTTCATACAGAAGTATTATATGCTTTCATTGCAAGGATATCATAATTATACAATGTGTCATAAACAAGTTTCATTACATTTTTGTTACTTAACGATTGTAATTTCAAGGATGTCTGCAGACGAAGCATGTAAATACCGACGGCAGCTTGATCTTCATTTAAATGACTTTTACCAGAATTAATGCATCTATCGGAAAGACAAATAACATAGAAGGTTAGCTTAGGTGAAAGAATGCCGATATATTCTAGTATCATTGAGTTTATGCAATTAATTTTATGCAATTAATGATATTTATTAGTTGCATTTATAGCAAGATCGTCAGGTTAATATAATATATAATGTGCTAGAGAATTAAGATTAATTAATTTATATCTTGTTATTACTTACTCAGCGAATCCTGTAAAGCGCGGTAACTGATAACTAGGTGATATTATTTCACGACAAGTACGATCTTTAGATTTTTGTAAATCTTCTTCTGTTAAGCGTAAGAATTCTGGTCGATTATAACGAAACTTTGCTGGAGCGAAATCGTAGGATTGACTGGAAAGATGATTATGTTGGCTAGGAATAGAGGCTTTGCCTCCCATGATATCAACAATTGATTTGATGTAGTTAGTATCTTTACGCTTTCACAACTTGAACAAACTTTTAAAATTTGTACTAGAATCGGCGCCTTTTATTCTATGCAAAGTAAGAAGTTGAATATAGTTAAATTATGGAACACGAAGCTAAATTTTTGTTATAATACCCAAACTAAGCTGCAGATATCGGATAAAATGTCATTTAAGTTAGGTAGGAATTCTAAAGTGTTAGTAGCAACTATTCAAGAGATGCAGTCTGTAATCAACATGGCAACTAATATACTACAGGTATATACAGTGATGCATTAATATATAATCGTAATATCAATAAATTTTTGTTTTCATAGTTGCTGTTAACTAGTATCGTAAAACAAGTATTGAAAAAGCATAGACCGAACAGTTTTATTACGAGAAAATGCGCTCATATACATGCACACATATTGAGATTTTAAATGTAATCGTTAAATGAAAAAAAGTATATAATTAATTACCTTCGAGTGTCAATGAGTTAAATATTATTTTTAAAGCTATATACCTATAAAGTAGAGTAGTCAGGCAAGACTTTTGTTGTACTTCGAAATTCTCACATATACACGAGCTAATCCTGAAAGTTTAATGAACAAATACTATGAGAAAACGTCTGGTAAAATTATTTTCCACTCGATCAGGTATAGATAACTTCGCCATTGAAATAGATGATGAGATATGAGAATTTAGCAAACGATTACGATAAAATATTATCGCTCCATTATTCTAATTCATTAGCTTGGTTAATGATAATGCATTTAAAGCTCTATCAATTTTGCATTTGATAGATTATCTTTGCTCAAATAATCGGATCTTGAAGTAAAACAGAACTATATTATTTTTGCCATGATAGAAATATAATCAAAGGATGGTAAATTAATGGTTAGGTCTAACAATTGTATGTTTACGATTTGAAGTCTAAATGCCAAAATATTTCAACTGCATACTCGTTTTTTATCAATTATGATCGTCTATATAATCAGTAGTGAATCAACAGATAATATTTACAAACAATATCCACCAATACATTGGAGCCTTTTTGTAAAAATATCAGCAATAATTACCATTAAATTTTGATACTCATGTTCATATAGTAATTAAATAATAATTAGATCAGTAAATAAATTATTAACAGCAATGTATAAAAACGATACATTGGTTAAATTGAGACTCTGGCAGCCAATTTTGTAACAAGTTTAATTAAGTTAAAATATCATGCCCTAATATTGTATTTAATATGCTTCTCCTAATTATATAATTATCTTTTTAGTAATTTGAAATAAATGTTTTTTTGTTAGATATGGTAGATAGTGGATACGAAATATTGACGATCGCTTTGCAGCTGTACAGATTAAGATTCATAAGAGACATTAAAATAAAATTATGAAGGATAAGAATAAATATTTCTTTAATCATATTTTAAGATTAAATCTACTATTTGCTACTGTGATAGAGGCTTTAATGAAATGTAGTACAGATAGAATTCATTACTTACTGGTATTTAATAGAACTGAAATTTAAGTATCATTGAAGCAAGATTAATTTCACTTCATATCAGACAAAACTAATGTTAAAAGGATGGAATTTTTTGTTTCCTCTACTATAATAATGAAATGATATCATATACAAAAAGCTGTGATGGATAAATAAAATTTTACCAACTATAGTACCCGCATAATCCATTTTGCCTCAATTCATAAGATAATGAAAGGAATGAAAAGAAAAAGGAAATAAAATGAAGATGGAATGGAAGATATAGCAGCATTAACAAAAATTAACCCTACGAGAGTAGCCTATCGACTTTATGATGAATGTCTAAGAAAAGGTTGATATTGTTATACATCATGACGTCTAATAGGTGCCGTGGTGATATTTGATAATTAAAAAATTTAGATCATTCTATTATAATATGTGATAGACAGAGAATTACACATAGATAATTTATAAATCAGACAACAATATTAAATTATCATATCATTATTCTACTTTCAATTGAATTGAATTTTAATAAAATTGATGGTATTAGAAGGATAATTTCAATCAACAAAAGATGTTGGATTATAGTTGTCGATATTTTATAATTCCAGATTAATATTATTGAACTAAGAAGAAAAATATGGATCAATAACGGAAGGGAAAATTTGAGATTTCCACAGAATTAAAAGTATCGAATGTAGGAGAAGGATTAGTATGGAGGGAAATGACTGCATGACTATCAAATTAATAAACGATGGAACACTTTGAAAGAGAGTATGATTTGATGAAATGAATACCTAGCATGAATAATTAAGTAGAAAAAAAAGGTTGAAGGCTTTACTTAATAAGAATGATCGAGTCAGGCTAGGATATGAATAAATGTAGTTTTATTTATGTGATGGGAGGTTATATGACAAGAAAGATTGAGAAAATGTTAGTTGGAATAAATACCAAACTACAATATTAGAAGTAAAAGCTTGAAGATTTTATGACATTACAACGAGTCAACAAAGGATCATAATAAAAACGGGATCATAAATAAAAAGTTTGTATCTTAGGGAGAAAAATACCATGCATCAATAAAGAAAAGAAAGCTCGAAGATTTCGTAGTATGAAAAATTTCGAGCTATGAAACATTAGAAAGAATAGGGTTAAAATAAAAATTATTTTATCATATTCGAATTAAACAAATGAGACTTTGGCAGTTATTATTGGAGAGTACTAGATTAGTATGATTACCTAAATCAGGAAATTTGCTGGTATTTCATTTCTAATTTCATAGAAATAGCAGTATCTTGAGAAGAAATAAAGAAATGTTAGACGGAGAGATTACTTTACCTAAGAATTTTTACTGATATTTCACTTAAGTTGTTATAAGATCAGTAATAATTCTTAAAGATCAAGCAAAGCTGGATAAAATAATTATTAAACCCAAATTTCACTAATAATTCATCCACACTCTTGCAAAGATGACTGTAAAATATTTACGAGAATGAAAAAACGTAGATGGAATAAGTGTCTATCCAATAAATTAATCGGTATTCCACTTCCAATCTAGTAAAAACAAATAAGAGTGTATGTATTATAACAAAATAGGGAAAATGATATCAAGATGTAATGAATTAAATATCGAGTATTCGGGTAGTATACATATTTATAAATATTACAGACTTTTAGAAATGCCTATTCAAAATCTAGCAGTAGATAATAGGAATTATTTAAGCTATAGGCATGAATGAACATATTTATATTTTGATCTCCATTGAAAAGCAAAAGCATTAGACGGCCATCCTCTACTATTAATAACTTTTTCGACGTTGAATAGAATAAACATTGACTGGGAATATGGAGGAGAGAATATTCATTATAGCTCAAAGTTGTTTGCAAAACAAAATCGTATTGATAGAGAAAGTTCAATGTTATTGAATAGAATAATTAATTATTTACAATCCTATTCTACCAGAACATGAATGGGTTGTTCGAAGTCCGATTCATCTCTAATTAATGCTAATCATTCCGTTCACAAAATATTGCAATTAATGGTACTATTTTAGCCTATGCAATCAGTTGATCTATTAGGACTTTGGTTAACCAAGAAGAATAAAAGGAATTGTCTAAGTCGTTTATCATTTAAGAATCAAATTGTAATTAAGAATGCAATAATTGCAGTTGATTTATGAAAATGACTACTGAAATGATGAGCTTCACAATCAATGTTTTCTTCGTTCTTTAATAAGTCCTAACTGAAACTAGTAACGAATTATACAAAATTATAGGTGTTTGGTGCTAGTGTTGTTAAATAATGTATTCCTAGGTAGAATTAAAATAGAGTGCTATGTTGTATAAAAAGTGAGATTATTGAGATCTTTCACGACGTTTTGTCGTTTTTAAATTTCAACTGAATTGATAATGGGCAGCTTCGATTTGGAAGCAAGTTCCATGTTTTAATAATTGAATAAAGGGCTAAAAGTAAAGAATATCAGCAAACTTTGTATGCTATATTCTCATGCTAAAATATGTAAAATTACTGCATATAATTAATGTATAAAAATAAGATATCGCAATATGAATGACTTAATGGATGTGAAAGGTTGATAGCATTAAATTGATTTCAAGTGTTCAATATTGAGTAGATTAATTGTTTTTATTACTATCCCGTTGAAATAATTTTGACCTCAGAAATGTTTCTTTTAAAGGTCAAATGAGGAGATTTATTTCACTAGTTTTTCAAAAATTTAATTTTTAAAATGTTGAGAAATACAATTATTCATTTATAAGACATATAAACTCAATTTCGAAAGGTCAAAATTCAGTCATTTATCAACTTTTCTATTGAGCCTTTAGCAGGAATTTAAAAATAGAAAGCATATACTTTACTTGCCTAGTATGGTATTTGGCTACCTTCTAGATAGAATACGGACATGAAGTCGAATTTATAATTAATCATTTTACGGATGTAATTGATTTTAATGCAGACAGAATAAATTCTATTGTCTCAATCAATGGATATTTGGGGATTTTAATATTATTTCGGCACAAACGAATTTAAATAGTAAAAATAAAATAATTCGGATAGTTTGAATAGTCTGATTGGAATACTTTTGATATTCAGTATTTTAAATACTAAAAGGACAAAAGTTTAGAAATGGCTGGAGATTGCGGTATATGTGTAGCTAGTAAGTGAAGAAAGTTTTAGATAGATTTGCAATAGACTGATCAGTTAAATGAACTACATTCAAATCTCTGGTATCTGGATGGATCATTATTTAGGAAGAGTTATCGTGTCATGATTTCACTTATCTTGCCTCTACTATACAGAATCACAGATTTTTCTACTTTCTTTATCAGTGATTAATTGAAAGGTACTAACTTCCTTCTATGACTTATAATCCTACCATAATAAATGATGCAGGACGATAGAATAAGCTTCAAATGTCGTATAGCTTCCTATCCAGAGTTTATGCTAGCAAAAGGTAATAATCATTATTTAATTGTGAATGAAACTAGTAATGGTAGCT